AGTAACATCTTGAATTCCATTCAGAAATAGAAAGTGGGCCGTAAAATTTCTTAGTTTCGGAAATTTTGTTTTTTTTAAGAGTCAGGAGTTGCCTAGTGACTTTTTATTGAGTAATAGAATCACTTGTAAACAGGAATAGAATAAAAACATTTTCTAAATTTATATCACATAATAGAAACCATTGTCCCATTGTAGAGGCAATATGGACATATTTTTGCAAACATTCAGCAGACATTATTTGGTAGCCCTTTTGCATTTTAGGAAAAGATAATTACAGCTAGGAAATGACCTTAGATTTTATCTAATCCAGTGATTCTGGGGCTTGGTTAGTGTTAAAAATCTTTTTCCAGCGAATGCATAGAGAATCTGCAAATACAGAACTCATGGAGGCAGAGCTGCCATTGTTGGAGGGGGGGAGGGGGACGGGACATGGGACACGCCCGGTCCTCACCTTCTCCTACCCTGCACAGACCCTGGCTCCCTAGACCTGTGCAGAATACCGTTTGAAAGTGGTCTAGAAATCCCTTCATTGTTCAGAGGAAAACAAATGCTGATGTATTTCATTTTGGAGACTTGCTCGAGGACACACAACCAGTGAGCCCTAGACCTCTGACTAGATACATTACTGACCTCCATCAGTCCTTCAGGCGAAGCTACATGCTCCCCTCCGATCCCTTTAAAAAGATTGGATTCCTTTTATCATTATTTCTAGTCTCTTTTGCAGAAACCCCACTTCTGTATTGTATTTCTAATTATTAACTCCTTTATTTTTCTGGTTACATTTTCAGGTGTACAAAGTAAGTGCAAAGTCCACTAAGAGTTTTTATGGTCAGAGTCTTATGTAATTGAGAGAGCAGTGAGCTTCAGACAGCGGGGTGGTAGTGTGGAGCTCCGACCAGGCGCTGCGCCCGGGAGCTGCCCCCTCAGGCCTTTCCTCCACGGCGCGCTCCCAGCATCAGTAGTGCCTGTGTGAATACCCGTAGTTTTGAAATGATCCCACTGACTCTTTCTCAAAAGAATCTGCTTTGAGCTCTTTTTTAGTGGCTGTAAGGAGAGTGCATGTTCACTGACTGGATTCTTCTCAGGATGGATGATGTGTTCAGCTTGAGGTGAGGTAGGGCGGTTTGTAAAGGAACATTTTCTGCTGGTTAGCGTTAACTAGCCTTCGGAGAAATCAAACCCAGAGACTTACTAGAATCTGTCCCAAATTCCTCCACACTTAAAGCTGGTATTCCTGCTAATATAGGATTCACTAGAAGAGTATAGGCTCCAGAATTTTTCAGGCTGGAAACTGTGGTCCCTGCTGTGAAAATGCCGCTTGTAATCCTGACCTACTTCCCCAGAGGAATCCTCACTACTGAGTGAGGACAGGGTTTGAAGTGGCGGCGGGGGATGTGTTGAGGCAGAAATGTTGGCCGGGTGTCTCCCGGACAGTCTGAGCAGCGTGCAGAATTCAGACTTGATAGACTGCTGTTTTACTGATACAGACCCACGGACTCTGGAGAGCCAAAAATACTGAATAAAAGGTGGTAGCAAGGAAATCTTACCCTCCTCTTTCCTGTTACCGTGCTTGTCTCCAATGTGTGCATTTAGAAAGACCAATCAACTGGACTTTTTGGTATATATGGGAGGGGTAGGACGATAGCAGCAGAGGGTTCTAGACATGAGTGTTCAAAATTAGGAGAACTAGCAGTTGAAGGAAACTCTCGTTCTCTACATCAGACCATTGACTCTGAGGTGCTCCCCTCTAGTGCAGTGTTTGGACTCTCTCCAAGGGCATGCAGCCTCGAAGAGAGGCGGTGGTTGCAGACATGGTCTTTATTTTTTTAGACATGGTCTTTAGAGAACTTTGCTTACACCGTGGCACATGGCCTGAGGCTTGGTTCATTTTTTAAATTATTTTTTATTACCTTGATTTTGATGTGTCTGCTTTTCTGAAGCGCTTGACTTTGCTAAGCCTAACTAACAAAAGTGCTTTTACTGCTTGGACTTTGGGACCGAAAGGAGTGTAAGTGTATACTTCATATTATTAGACAGAATTTTCTGACTTTGATCAAATAATGGTTTAATGTATTTCTGGTCTGGTTAACCAGATCTGATGTATCTTGATCATTTAAAGTAGACTTAAATTTTCTAATTAGGAAAAAGTCCCAAAAGCTAAATAGAGAATTTAGATATTAATATTCTAGAAAATGTGGTCTAATGGGCATTTACGATGTGATCCTTCAAGGAATCTGCCTTTCTTTCTCTAAGGGCATTTTGTGCTGCTGTAGGGATAATAGGAGCATTGGGGACTTACCAAACACGTCTAACCTCATTTGAATAGTTAAGCTGCTTCTAACATTTTTTTTTTTTAAGAAAGAAAGGAAAACACCTGTGAAACTTTCTCACAAATGTTACTCTGAAAGCAAAATCATACTTAGAAAATGTGACACAAATTTAATTGTGAACCTTTTGAGCAAGTAATTTTGCATTTCCCTTACCTGAAGGAAGCTGGGACTGTGGGAACTAGGTGGTGTTTTTAAAGGGCAAGGAAATGATTAGAGCAGCTCTTTGCAGGATTAAAGATCGATCAGGATGTTAACAACAAGGTGCAACCTAAGAAGCCATATTATTAGCATGAGGAAAATGGAGACCCAGGAAGATTAGGAGTAATTTCAGTGGATTCGGTGTAGCATAGTAGATTTAAAAATCATGGTCTTTAAAATCAAACCTAAGTTTTGATAACAGTTACTAGCTTGGGCAAGTTATTTAACTTCTCTGACATTCCACTCCCACTTTGAGTTTAGGGGGCATTAACTCTGAATCCGGTACTTTCCATGTTACTGTAGGTATGTTGTAAAAGTTCATTTCCTTACCCTAATTCCTTACCAAAAAAAAAAAAAAAAACCTTCTGGTGGAAGATAAGGAATGAGGCTAGAGGACAGTTAGACAAATAGATCGGTTCTTATGCCCCTACTCCTGCTGAGTACTCCTGCCAGATGCTGTGGACTCCTGCCAGATGCTGTGGAAAAATCCATAAGCCTTTTGTGTGGTATCATTACATCTTTTGGAATATTATTCTACATAGGTGCTCTCTAAAAATGGCAGGACTTCTTTAAAAGTCTCTTTGGAAATCCCTAACTCAAGAGTGAGGTGAATTGCTACAGGAGCTAGTGAAGTGGCAGGAACCCTGTGATTTCAGTTTCCCCCATCAATCTTGTCCTTTCTCTTCAAACAGGTGGTTCCATCAAGGTCCTAACCCCTATAATGGAGCACAGGACTGGCTTTACTCGGGCAGCTACTGGGACAGAAACTACTTCAATCTGCCTGACATTTATTAAAGTGCAGACAAGTCAGGGTGTTTGGCTAATCTACAAATAAGTCTTAAACCTATGTTTTTAAATTTTTTCCTTGGTTTCTACTCATCTTTTAAGAAAAAAAACCGCTCATGAGATAACTTGCATTTCACCCAACAAAAATAGGGCATAAGGTGATATTGGTGATGAAAGGAAAAATGGGTAATTTTGCTATCCAAATAGACTTACTGATTTGAAATACTGTTTTATAGAGGTAAGAGAAACGGTGTGGAGAATATGCTTTTTATGGTTGTTATTGCCATATTTACTGAAGGTTTATACCCAACTGTACCTTTAGCTTTATGGAATTATATAGTAATCCCAAATCAAGTTACTTTGAATATTTTTATGCCGTCATGCTTGAATGTTTTAGATGTAACTTTGAAATGTTTAGAACTCTTCTATACAATGTTTATGTGCTCAAATGCAGAGAAGGTTATGTCATTTTGTAAAGACTACTTTAAAAAGATGGCTTTTCTTCATACTAATCCTCTCCAGTTTACCCCTTCCCACCTCCAAAAAGAAAAAGTACCTGAATATTCAGAACAGGTGTTCCTGATTTGAAAGCTCTTCTAAAGAATTAAACTGGAAAAGGTATTTCACTTATTTTAGTGCTCTAAATTTATTTTTACAATTTTCTGTAATCAAGGTCCTTAGAATTAAAAGGTGTTTCAATTGAAAATTTGTATAAAATCTAGCAATTCACAAAAATGCCCTAGAAATAGATTCTAATCACCATCATTACATAATGACAAACCTTTTTAAATGCGTCAACTTTGTGGCAAATGCCACCAGAGACAATAAGTTGCACTCATGTATTATAAGTACCAAACTATAAAAGGAGGTCTTGTGCATTTCAAGTTTGCAAGGTACCTGTGTACTTAAAATATGTATGGAGACCTCCTGTACAGTAGCTTTGCCCCTTTAATTGGGGTACATTAATCTTACGGTATTTATCCACCCAACCCCAGACTGAGATCTTGCTCCAAGGGGCTTTAGGTAGCTGCCAGTAAATTATTTTAATTGCCGTCTTGAAGTTAACAAGTGTTATAATGAAATAATCTACCTGATGCTAAATAAAGGCTTTAGAATGTTCCCAAAAAGTGTGGTTTTTGTTTTAAGATTTTGTGAGAGAGAACACAAGCAGGGGGTGCAGCAGGCAGAGGGAGAAGCAGGCTCCCCGCTGAGCAGGGAGCCTGATGCGGGACCCTGATGCGGGACCCAATCCCAGGACCCTGGGATCATGACCTGAGCCGAAGGTAGATGCTTAACCAACGGAGCCACCCAGGCGCCCCAAAAGTGTGGTTTCTTAATCTGATCCTCAGTTACCTCAGTTACCGAGTGTCCTTACCAAGAAGTCCCTGTGCTGCCGTCCACAGGGCCCCGGAGCCAGCCTGGCAGCTAGCACTTGCTGAGCAAGTGCTGAGTGGTCTTTGGGTGAGTATTCTCAGGAGGGCTCCCCTAGCCGCCTGGCGGGAATGCCACACACAAACTCACCGAATGGGAAGACCCGCCTAGAAAGCCGAGTAGCTTTGCTGGTAGAGTGGGAATGTTTTCTTCTGCGGTGCATACAGAGTTGGGAAAGGCTACACTGGTCTGAAAAGATTACAGGCCTTTGGTAATCGATTGTCCTAAGTTACAAAATAAGAGCACAGGGTTTTAATGCTTGCATGAGGTTTATTGACCAAGTACGCTCGGTGGCGGACTCCACCTTGAACGTTGGCTCAAACGGCATCGTTTCCAGCATCTGTTAGAAATGTAAACAGTGAATTGTTTAATCACAAAATCGAACACGTAAAGTGAGCGGCAGATCAGAAATGGGAGGTCTACCCTCCCATTACTAAATTCTTATCTAATCATGTAGCTGTGCATTTGCACTGAAATATCCCAGCATTTCATGCTGAAAACAGCCATTCTGACGATTCCACTGAAAGTCTACAAAGGCAGAGAAGGGCACATAGAGCTAAGATTTGATAATGGAGTTATCTCCTTAAATACTGTCCATAGCGTACTTGAGCCTGCCTGTGAAGGAAATCTAGCTTTTGCCCATTGGATATTCAGTGTGAAATTCCCACACATTGAAGTAACTGAACTCGTTGGGGTGTGGGTTTGACCCTTGCATTGTACCTTGTCTCCCTGCTTCCTCTAGTGACCTCCTCCTGCCTTCTAGGTCTGTCATTCTTCTGGCTTCCTGCTGAGCTGTCAACCCCAGTGTCTGTCCTATGGATCTAGGGGCCCTGAATCATATGGTTCCCCTTCACAGCTCCAGCGTCATCTTAGGGGCTGTCCCCAGCTCCTCCCCACCAGCATCATTTTGGCCTCCTTGCCATGTTGGAGTCCTGCTCTTTCCTGCCCTAGGCCCAGTCTGTAGGCTCTCTGCAAGGCTGGTTCCTTCTTGGGACTCGGGTCAGCTGACATCCGGGCCTGACCACCCTAACAAAGGAGGCTCTATGTCAGCATTGTTGTCCTCACCATTCTTAACATGGTGTCCTGAACTCTCCAGTCCATTCGCCCACGGAGGGGGAAGTCTGGGCCTTGCTCTGCCCACAGCGGGGAGGTGGGATGAGCACGGGACAGGGCATTAGGTACTGGTGGGATGAAGAACTTAAAGATGATTTGTGATTAAAGGGTCTGATTCAGGTAATGCCAGTTGTTTTAGCTCCTTCAGGTGTTTCCAACCTGCCTGTGCTGTAAATCTTCACGCTCCAAGGGAACAAACCTGCTACAGTGACGGGGTGCTCCACGGCATCTCTGACTTCTCACCTCTCTCTCCAGTTGGCTGCAGTGCTCACGTCTGGCACCTGCTCCGACCCACCCCTTCACCTACCGATTAGATTAAAAGTTCCTACCTAATGTCTTTTTTCTTATAAAGCCATCCCTTTTTAGCATCTTCCACGGGGCTAGCTGAAGAACCAGGTATTCGAAGGTGATTGGGTGGATGGGCTCATGTCTTAGGCCCCAAGTTCTCAGTGTGAGTCATCCTGGTGCAGTGCATGTACTGTGCATTTCTTACTAATAATTGGGGGTAATGAACTTGGGAACCCCGACTCTGCACATCTCCATTCAACTTCTGTAAATACCTCTGTCTCCAGGTCAACAAATCAAAGTACTAGTGTGTTAAGGCCCACATATTATGGTAGGAAAGTTTACCTACCATTTTTAGGTTTCTGCTCTGCGAACATGGGCAGTAGTCACGGTTATTTCTCCAGCAATACCGTAACTTCCAAAGGGAGTACGTTTGTCACCCGATCCTGAACCTTTTTTGGCTACATCTTCTACTGGGAATGCAACAGAAAGAAAAACTGGGCTTTGTGGCCTGGGGACATCTTGTCCACTTGGAGGAGGACTACCATTCTGGGGGTTTGGGGTATGTTTCTGGAATTTCTGATCTGCAGGAACAGCAATGGGTACTTGGACTGCAGCGTATCTCTTCAAGGCATCTGACTGAGAAACAACAGCATGTCCAGGAAGAGGTTTCCAATCCTGAGCTTCCTGAACATTCGAGCCTACTAAAATAAAAGGTGGGGCACTGGTCTTCTTGCTGTCGTCCATCATCACGTAAGTTGGAGAAGTAACTTTCGGTGGCTGCTGCAGAAACTTTGGATCCTTAGGATTAGATAAATAGAGGGTTGCTTGGGGGAAAGGCCCAGGTGCAGGTGGCGGTGATGGGCGACTTTGTTGATTCATATCAGTTAGACAATAAAGGGTCCACATGTTAGAGTATGGTGGTGGTTGTCCTGCTTCGCTTGCTGCTATGGCTATAAAAAAAAAAAATTTGCAGGCATTAAAGGTTGGTCTCTGTATCAGGCGCTATGCACAGAAATGTCTTTGTAAGTTTTCTTTACATATAAACAGCTGCAGTAGTAATGTGTGCCATAAAGCGTGCTATAGAGAGGGCTAAATCGTGTTTGGTAATGTGAAAGAAGCGAGGCTCTCTACCGCTGGAAAGTGAGAACAGCGTCGTGCTAGCAGGTGGCAGGGGCGCTCGAGTTGTGCCTGAAGCAGCAATCTCATCCGAAGCCGCCGGTCCCGGGGCGGCCAGCTTGAGACGTGGCCACCGCAGCGCCCGCACACACGACGTGGAGGATCCACATTTGGGGCTTTACCAAAAGAATCAATTGAAGTGTGTGTGAAGCCAGTGAAAAAGTGTTAATGCATCTGCAGAGTGACTTTTTCTTTACTAAAGAAGTCCGCATGGGGGCGTCATCTTTTGGTCACATTATCAGTTTCTTTGGCCCTTTACAGGCCCCACAATCTCACATTAATTGGGCACCACACACAGAACATCACATAATCTAGGACTCAGAACCCCAGAGAGCACCGGCTGTAGGCAAGGCTTGAAATCATAGGTCCTAGGTGGCAGTAAAAGGCTGGTTGGTCCCAGAGGGGTTCTTTAAGGGCCGGCGGGGGGAAGCCTTCTAGGAGTGCCACCCGTCTATTTAACACCAAGGCATCTGTGATGGCAAGTTTGACTTGACTAATGAAGACAGTACTGTCTTGGAGAACTAAGTCCCAGAAGATGGGATGGAGGCGAAACTCCTTCCCGACGGAGTGGCATGTGGCCCAAATTGTACTGAGTTCACCGTTTGAACGCTGGGCCTCGCATCCCTGGTGCAGCTTTTCTTCCCCAGAAAAGAACAGAACACTATGCACATGATTAAGCTGGTCAGTTTTCAGTAGCTTCAGATGCAGTCAATGGATCCTTCCGCAAGCCAGTGAAAAATACATATAAGCCTAGTCTTCCGTTTGAAATCTCCACGTGGTGCTTTAGAAAAAGGGCGAGGCACTGGGGAGCCGCGACTGGGGAGCCACTGCTGCTCCCGCCACAAGGCGCGTGCTCGTCCCGCGCGCCAGCTCCCAGCGCTGCCTTCGGCCTTTTCAGTGGTGCGGTCCCCGCCACACTGCCAGACAGAATTTGATCCCAGAACACCTGCTTTGGTAACACTTGACCGTTCCGGCTCTGGGAAGAGTCAGCGTGGAGAGGGTTTCTGCAAAAGGGAGCGGGGAGGTCGGCTCCATCTAGCCCTCAAGGGGAGGGGGCAAGAGGGGGGCAGGCCTAAGTCCAGAGCTGGAGGGAGGGAGAGATGAAGCCAGGTCTGTGTCACGGGCAAGCCCGGTCGACGTCGACGTCCGGCAGCGCAGCCGGCGGTGGGGTTTTCGCCCGTCGGGGTTGCTGACGGGAGGCCAGTCGGCTTAGCTGCAGCCGCCTCTGCACTCACCCGGGGGACAGAAGTGCGGCCGAGCTGTCCCCTCCGTCCAACTCTGGGGCTGCCCTCACGGCTGCAGGAGCCCCCCCCACCCCGGGAGGGAGCCAGGGCTCCCCACACCCGCTTGCAGGGCCCTCTCCCACTGCAGGGCGAAAGCAGGGGCAACACACCACCATGTCTCTCTGGAGGGCGTTGTGTGGTTGGAGGTTGACACTCACAAGTGAGCCATTTCAAAGCAACACCCCGTGGCCCACGTTCGCAACAGCAGATTCGGATCACAGGTTTGGGGCCTGACAGGAGGCTCTTCAGGTTTTTCACTCCGTGTGCTGTCTGAAACTGCTAGGTGACCCAACTGGGAGGCCAAGCTGTGGTGATGTCACTTTAAAATCACTCCTCTCATAAGAGTAAAATCTCAAGTACGACAAGGCCTTTACAGAGGTTTGCCATCTTACAAGCTATTGAAAATGGAGCCTTTGACCAACCTGGAGGGAGCCCACGTCCGTGGTTACCTGAAACACAGAGGTTACCTGAAAATGTAATTGGTAATTTTGTAAGTATCTGGTTTTCTTACCTGGCTCCATCAAACCTTGTGCGAGTGCTGCTTCCCCTTGTGGTTCGGGTTCTGGAACAGGAGCGGGGGTACCGCCAGCTGCCCTTCCCGGCGCAGCCGAGAGCCCTGCGGTGGTAGCTTCCCCAGAGAGCACGAGTTTGGCCTCCATCTCCTGGGCTGCAGAGTTTCCCCGGGACTCCTGCGCAGGGTTGCCAGGGACTAGGGCAGTGAACTCCGTTTCAACGTGCAGAGGTTTTTCAGAGCCTACTGCTTTGGTGGAGCCCTGTGCATCCGGGAACTGTGCAGACTGACCTTTCAAAGAGGGGTCAGGGAGCAGAATGGCTGCTTCTGCTTCCATATGTACTGAGGAATAATTTGCATCCTCCTCCAGCGGTTTTACCGAACCTACAGGTTTCTCGGACATGCCTGTGGCGAGTGCTACAGGAATGGGACTAAGTGGTGGCTCGTTTGCTTTAAGAGAAGCAATGTGATCAGTAAAAGGGATAACTATGTGTTCTGGTATTTGCTCGACATAAGTAACTCCTTCAGTCACAGGCTCATTGTTATAGATAGACGATACGCGAATGAATGAGGTGACCTCAATATCAGCCTGCAAAGGGACCTCGGGAGCTTGATCGTAAGCAGGAGGGTCTTGTTCATCCTGCAAGGGGAAGGAGGAAGCTGCTGCTGGTTCAGCTTCATCGTCTTTAAGTTTAGAACCCAAATCTACACGGACAGCTGTTTGGCTCAGAACCTGCAGGACTGCCCCCTCTGCAGAATACGCAGGAGTGGCCACCCGGGCATCTTCAGCAGCCTCTGAGCTCAGCACCTCGTCGGAAAACAGAGGCATACTCGTGGCCACATCCACCATTAACACGTCAGACCGATCAGAATGAACAGATGCAACTTTACCTAACATTTGAGCAGCAAACTGAGCTGGGTCCGCTGGGACATAAGCAAACTCGGGTGACACGGCTGCTGGAGGTGATGATGAGGGTGGGGTCATCCCCTTAGGGGTAGATGGTTTCAAACTGGAACCACGAGCTGCTTCGGATGTCTCCTCGGGTTCCTGGAGCACCTCCAAGTGAACTGATGGGAACTGAGTGGTTTTGTTCATAAACAGTGGTCCAGCGATATTGTCCTCCTCTGTGTCTGTAGATTTCTCCATCCGTGTAGGTTCTTGGGAAACTGTAGATGTTCCTACCTGTTCTTTCATACATTCTGCTTTCTTCTCTTGTGTCGTTCCTTCTGACCACCTCTCTACTAAAAAAGCCAGATGGGTTAATAAGCGGATATCCCCCCCCCAATTTTAAAGCAGTAATAGGTTGAACTTTCAGATGTCAATACACAGAGAAGCACAGAAGAGTTTTGCCTAATTTCAGCATGTGTGATTTAGAATGGGTACTGAAACTTCCCTGTCCTTACCCACTCAGAAGACACCTCAGCTCATCTCAGAAATCAGGGACTACGTAGCACCGTGACAAAACAGAATCAGATACCACCTTCAGCTGGTCCGCGTCAGGGGGAAAGACCGTAACTCTGCCTAGAACTAAGGAAGCTGGAATCCTCCATGGAAAAAGCTCCTGATCTAAACTTCTACACAAAACCCAAGGGTTCTGGGAAAGGGGGTTCCACCTGAGCAGTAAGTGGTCTGATCTTCAGCTGATGGAATAGCTTCTTAATGAAACAAATGCTGTCATGTTAATAAAGGCAGTGCTCAACTTAAGACAACTGGTATATAAAATTTAATAATGAGTGGGAAAACGGGGCCTATAGGATATTTTGACATTAGGAAACATCCTATAGTCTGACCTAAAAATGGTAGCACTTGCTGGCGAGGTATGATAAGGCAGCAGCCAAAGTTGAACTGACCCAGACAAGAGGGGCAGGAAGAGACCTCCAGATCCGTCAGCAGATGACCTAGAGGAGCTCCTAGGGTGGGGAAGATGCTGTGAAACCCTCTTCTCTGTCTGTGCCCCACCCCCCTCCCTCATCAGCCGCTTTCACAGCTGCTTGCTCAACTGCGCATTTTCTCTTGGGGAAGCATGTCCTGCGTATCACAATGACATCGGCAGGAAAAGCAGAAAGCGGGTGTGTTTCAGCTTGGTTCTTACTCCTCGCACACTGTCTTTATTCCTCAGCTCTGACCTTCCTGGGGTTCACTGCATCACCAGGGCTTCACAAGCCTCTTCGTGTCAGTTGGGCCCAAACCTACCACCCCCGACAGCACCCCGCTTCCGAAATCCCCACTCAGCTTCTAGTCTCCCACCAGCTCTTCCCTGCTAAGCCTCACGCTGTCCTCCACACACAGCTCGGGAGTTGGCCAGCAACCCAAAGAAAATGCTTGGCAGACTTTGGGGGCTCCTTCTCTGCAAACACCCCCTCTCTGATGCTTTGTTGCCCAAATCCCAGCCATAGTAGTAGCCCCAAACCCTCCATTTTCTCTTCCCAGACACGCTTCCACTCTATGCTGGGCCTCGCTTGCCTTGTGCAAGAAGTTGAGAAATGCTGCTAGGGTGAAGAGGGGGCTCACTTTCCGTGAACTCCTTCTCCCAAGGATCCAGGCACTGGGCTTCGGTTTACAGAATTGCTCCAGCTTTTACGATGGTCGATGAGAGGAGGCCGAGTGTGGTAGCAGCCCCCCCATCATAGCTGACAGTGAAAGATCTCTTCCTGCACTGATTTTCCCTGGCACAGCGTCTGGCAATGGGGAGGAACTGAAAGATTTGATAAGTGAAATAGTGAATTGGACTTTATGGACAGGTAGGATTTGAAAGGTGCGTAGCGACTCCTGGAGAGGGAAGAGTAACAGAAGCCAGAAACCAGGTGATGACAAGCTGTCTGGCTGGTGCAGAGAGAGAGGGCGGCAAAGGGAGGAGAGATTCAGATCGCAGAAAGCTTAGTTTGCATGGCCTGGTCTTGGAAAGGGATCAAAATTTATGACAGAGTTGTCAGCATTACTTGCTCTATTTGCATTAAAATGCTTATCTCCAAATGGCAAAATTTACTTGATATAGGTTAAAAATATTTAGCCCTTCTAGTTTAAAAGTCTCTTTGGTTAATTATTCAATCTTTTGGGGCTATTTATCAAAGATTCGCCCACTTCTAAAGAAGGAAGCCGAATGCTAGAGTCAGCTCTGGCTCTGACCCACGTTGCTCTTCTCTGCTGGCTCTCGGGTGGCCTCGAGGAGAGCCCCCGCTCCTAGTGCTTGCGCTCTAGGCGTTGGTCCCTGACGTGGTCGTAGTCACTTAAGGATTTCCACTTTGTGGAAAATGAGCCTGTTATTTCCTGGGAGATGCCCCTCCTAATTTAATTTGGTCCTCTTTAGCATTGGAGGCCTAGCTGCCAATTTTTATTTTGTCCCCAGCTTGGGCAGTATGTGCTATAGCGCTCTGCCGGCAGGGTGAGCGACGTCACTTTGTCCCAGCCCGATTCCCTGCTAGTCAGCACTCTGGGACCATCAGAACACATCTGGACCAACTACCGGCCACGTGTGGGCCCTGGCACACCAGAAATCTCATCTGTGGCCCACCTGAGAAAGACTCTCCATGATTTCTAATCTACCTCTTCACATTCAATTCTTTTATTCAACACTTACCGCAGGTCTGATCGTGACAATTACAGCACACGTGAACATAGCGTAGCATGTGTTAGGCTAAATGCAGAGCCATGCTAACCATGCAGCCGCTCTGAGAGGCCCCCGGGAAAGCAAAGCACAAGCCTTTTGGTCAGGGTTTAGAGCATTCCAATCACAGATTCTCCCCACCTTCCTAATAACCACCTTCGGTCTCAGCTAGCACTTGGTGTGCACTCCCCACGCCCCGGGGACCACAGTCCCACGCCAGGACGGACTTCCTATTTCCCTTCCCTTTGCAGCAGGAAATGAGCTTATATCCTATGGCATATATAAAATAAAAACTTGATTCTGGTACCTTTGGCTCTTAAGTTAAAAGTCAGCTCTGGAAATTCCAAGAAAATCTTCTCTCAACAAAAACAGGCTCCTGGAAAACTCCGAAGTGTTTCTTACTAGGAACTTTGGAAACTCACTACTGAGTAATGACTTCGTATTCGCATTTCCCCTAAAGCAAATGAACGCTCCAATGGGTAGAGATGGACGGAGCTAACAGGAACAATGGGAGGCTATCTGAAATCACTATACACTAGTTTAATATTTTTCAGAAATATCCCTGTGACATTGAAGAGTTTGGATTTTATGAACAATAGGGCGCTATCAATGTTCCCGGAGAGCAAAGAGCTACACTTACCTTCTTAGGTCCAAGATGTTCTTCCTGCTCATACTGACTCTTGTGTCCTAGTGTCCCTGACCCCATTGTCTTCACTTTCCTGGTCTGCCATATCTGCTTCCTCTCTTAATCCTAACCCTGTATTTCTGTCCTAGGCTGCCAATCTGACCCCAACTCTTGACAATACCATTGACTGGTTCCATGATTTGTCTTCTTTAGTATGGACTATTCCCCAACTGATTAATCTTACCACAATGTAAAACATAAATGACCCAAGGCCCCCTCCCAATATCACAACCAGATAATCATTTGAACCTTTTTTAAACTTAATGAAATTCTACCTTGGTACAAATTACCACCCTGCCTAGGCAAATACGAGACTTCCAAGAAATAAAAAGGATCATTTTGGCACAATACCCATCCCTGTTTAGGGAATCAGTATAGCCTTACTTGACAAAATGCCCAGGAAAGTGCAGAGTAGCACCAGAGCTTCACACAATTTAGTATAGATTGTCCTGAAATTGATACATTTCTCATTTACTTAATAAGAGAGAATAGCCACAAGTATGTGTAACCAACTGTGAAAATAGTGCATAAAAATAGAATCTGGCATAAGAATTAAACTAAAAACATTATGAATATTTAATATGAATAACTCAAGACATTTAATGATATGCATAACTGCTGTGGTGCATAGAAATTGAAATTGGGCCCAATGATCAGCAGCAGTGTATGATTATAATTACAATTTATGGCCAAGCCAAGAATGTCCAGGATCAGTAAGAAAAGTTAACAGTTTGGGGCACCTGGGTGGCTCAGTCGTTAAGCATCTGCCTTCAGCTCAGGCCATGATCCTGGGGTCCTGGGATCGAGCCCCACGTTGGGCTCCCTGCTCAGCAGGAACCTGTTTCTCCCTCTCCTCCCAGCTTGTGCTCTTTCTCGCTATCTCTGTCACTATCTGTCTCTCTCAAATAAATAAAATTAAAAAAAAAAAAAAAGTTAACAGGTTAACTCAGTTGGGCTAGGCCTTCTTGATTTTTCCAAAGAGTTAGCTATGTCCTGCCTTTGTTGGATATGGGACAGGGCTGATACTAGAAACTAGACTCAGTGAAGCTGAGGGGGATGGAAGGGGATGGTGTTGAGATCTCATTTGCCACTCTGCATGGGGAAACCACTGTTGAGTGGTGAAAAAGTGAGAACTAGCACAATCTAGCACAATCTGGCTTTGGGTTCTACACAAGAAGGTGACCAGAGAGGAAGAAGTGAAAGAGTAGGAGATACTATGGGGAAAGGGAGCTAAAATTCTTCTTTACTCTTTCAGTTCAAGAATTTCAAGTTTTTCCAAAGGAATCATAGAATGTTACTTACTATGGGAAGAACATGAGTTATGCTGCTAGGAAGATCTAAGTTTCCATCCTAACCCTACCAATTAATATTTGGAAGTTTACAAGTTTTTTAATCATGCCCAAGCATCACATTTCTCTTGAGTAAAATTGTAATGATGTCACCTACTTATAAAGTTGCCTTAATTGACAAAATATTTTTAAGTACCTAGGACAAAATATCTCATTTTACTGCATTTCACTTTATTTCACTTCACAAATACTGTATTTTTTACAAATTGAAGGTTTGTGGCAGCCCTATATCAGGCACAAAAGACTGGCTGTTCCCCATCTGTCTCCCTCCCTTAGGGCCTCCCTTACTCCCAGAGACACAACAATATTGAAATTAGGCCAATCGATAACCCTATAATGGCCTCTAAATGTTCAAGTGAAAGGAAGAGCCACGTGTCTGGCACATTAAATCAAAAGCTAGAAATGATTAAGCTTAATGAGGAAGGCATTTGAAAACTGAGACAGGCCGAAAGCTAGGCCTCTTCTGCCAACCAGTTAGACAAGTCGTGAATGCAAAGGAAAAGTTCTTAAAGGAAAATGAAAGTGCTAACCCAGTGAACACACAAATGATAAGCAAAACAGCCTTATTGCTGAGATGGAGAGGGTTTGAATGGTCTGGATAGAAGATCAAACCAGCCACAACATTCCCTTAAGCCAAAGCCTAATCCAGAGCCAAGCCCTGACTCTTTTCAATTCTGGGAAGGCTGAGAGAGGTGAGGAAGCTGCAGGAGAAAAGTCTGAAGCTAGCAGAGGGTGGATCATGAGGTTTAAGGAAAGAAGCCACCTCCATGACATTAAAGTGGAAGGTGAAGCAGCAAGTGCTGATGGAGAAGCTGCAGCCAGTGATTCAGAAGCCCTGAGATCATTAACAAAGGTGACTACACTAAACAAAGATTTTCAACGTAGATGAAACATTCTCATATTAGAAGATGGTATCTAGGACTTGGATAGCTAGAGAGGAGCAGTCAATGCCTGGCTTCAAAGCTTTAAAGGACAGGCTGACTATCTTGTTAGGGGCTACTGCAGCTGGTGACTTTAAGTTGAAGCCAAAGCTCCTTTGCCATTCTGACAATCCTAGGGCCCTGAAGAATTATGCTATATCTACTCTGCCTGTGCTCTAGAAATGGAACAAGGCTTAGAAGACATCATGTCTGTTTACACTACAGTTTACTGAGTAGTTTAAGCCCACTGTTGAGACCTGCTGCTCAGAAAAAAAGATTCCTTTCAAAATATTACTGCTCATTGACAATACACCTGGTCACCCCAAGAGCTCTGATGGAGAGGTATGATGAGCTGAATGTGGTTTCATGCCCGCTAATATGTCGGTACTGCAGTCCATGAATCAAGAAGGGATTTCAACTTTCAATTAAGAAATACGTTTCGTAAGGTTATCATTGTAAAAGATAATGATTCCTCGGATGGATCTGGGTGAAGTCAGATGAAAACCTTCTGGAAAGGATTCACCACTCTTAAGATGCCATTGAAAACATTTGTGATTCATGGGATGAGGTCAAAATATCAACATTAACAGGCATCTTGAAGAAGTTGATTCCAAAGTCATGGATGACTTGGAGGGGTTCCAGACTTCAGTGGAGGAAGTCCCTGCAGATGTGGTGGAAACAGCAAGAGAACTAGAATTGGGAGTGGAGCCTGAGGATGGGACTGCACTGCTGCAAGCTCATGATCAAACCTGAACGGATGAGGAGTTGCTTCTTATGGATGAGCAAGGGAAGTCCTTTCTTGAGATGGAATCTACAATCCTGGTGGAGATGTTGTGAAGATTGTTGAAATGACAACAAAGAATGTACAGTATTCTATAAACTTAGTTGATCAAGCAGCAGCAGGGTTGAGATTGACTCTAATTTTGAAAGAAGTTTTGTGTGTAAATGCTGTCAAACAACATTCATGCTACAGAGAAATCATTCCTGAAAGGAAGCATCATTCGGTGCAACAAACTTCACTGATGTCTTATTTTAAGAAATTGCCACAGACACCCCAACCTTCAGCAACCACCACCCTGATCAGTCAGCAGCCACCAACATCAAGGCATCTCTCTGGAAGCTCAGATGGTAGTTAGCATTTTTTAGCAATAAAGTATTTTTTAAAATTAAGATACATACACCTTTTTTTTTAGACATAATATTGCGCACTTAGTAGACTACAGTATAGTATAAACATAACTTTTATGTGCACTGGGAAACCAAAAAACCATTTAACTGGCTTTATTGCAATATTCGCTTTATTGTGGTGGTCTGGACCTGAACCAACAGTCTCTCCAAGGTATGCCTGTACACGGGCGCCTGGGTGGCTCAGTTGGTTAAGCGACTGCCTTCGGCTCAGGTCATGATCCTGGAGTCCCGGGATCGAGTCCCGCATCGGGCTCCCTGCTCGGCGGGGAGCCTGCTTCTCCCTCTGACCCTCCCCCCTCTCATGTGCTCTCTCTCTCTCATTCTGTCTCAAATAAATAAATAAAATCTTTAAAAAAAAAAAAAGGTATGCCTGTACTCGATAATTCCATTCCTCTTTCCCTTCCTTTCCTACCTGTGACATAGTAAGTGGTAGAACTTAAGAGACAACTAACTCTTCTGCCTTAAAAGATCACCTGAGTTTCTAAAATCCCCTCAATTAATGATTCAGTGCTATTAATGAAGAAACTCTCCTGAGAAGACTGAAAAATGGGGGCACTTTC